CATGTGGGGGTGAATATATGCAGGGGGAGGGAGACCATTCCCCCGACCCTGTTACAGACATCCATGTGTTCAGCAGGACATCTGCAAAGGACCTGCAGGCAAAGGCAGGTAGGTGTTGCTTGCAAGTGAGAGCTTCAGTCATGCAAGGTTGCTGTACCTACATGTACGCATGCAAGTCATGCAAGGTTGCTGTACCTACATGTACACATGTACATGTACCTACATGCACCTACATGCTGTATACCTACATGTACCTACATGCTGTACCTACACACACAGCTTCCCCTTTGCAGATGCCCCACTGAGGGAACAGTAGGTGGCTGGTCATATAGGGCACATAGGATTGGTGGCAGGCCAGCATGGGTGGTCCCACTTCTGTTCCATGCATTGAGGAGCACCTATATGGTGCTTGACTAAGTGTATACTTGCCTGGACTGGTGCTTACTCATGACAAAGAAAGATTGTACCATGTACCTAAATTAGGGGTTTCAGAGAAATTCTCCAGATTGGCATCTATGCACAAACCTGGAGTGTTCTGGCACCCAAAAATCCATCCAGAAACAAAACCTTTTGTGCTTACCTTTGTTTTCCTACATCCATTTTCTCCAGGGCTTGCAGGAAAACAACTTAAGTGGTATCTCAGAGAATCATTGGAAAAGGCAGAAGGGTAGCATCCCTCTTTCCCTTTACCCCAGTGCAACCATTAAGAATGGGAATGATTGGTTATTATGCAATGTTTTCCTGTCCTTGAGGACTAGGCTTGATCTGTATATAATCCTAGCAGCAATGCATCCAGTTGTAAATTGTGCCAGATGAACACCATGCCACACGGGGAGCTATTAAATGCAAGACAACTTCCTATGTGGTTTGGCTGATTTCCTGCTGGCAAAATCTCTTTTTCATGATTCTGTTTTCAAGCAGTGGCCCTGCCATTAGTGCAGTGCAATGGACTGGGCCAAAAGCGATTCGTCTGGTCTTCAGCGGTCCTCTTTCCCTCGCCTTGTACCTAGTCATGCACAAGATGCCCAATATGCCTCACATACAATCTTACATATCTGCTCAGCCTTCAAGCCAAAGGGGCAGCTTTTCTCCAATTGCAAGCCTATATTTTACATCCTTCCTAGCAGAGTAATTTCAGGCGGCTGCTCACAGTTGCTGTTTAGGCCACGGGGCACAGTAGAATTCTGCGCAGTCTTCTTTCTGCCCCAGCCCCCTACCATCCTGCTCATTCAGCACACACACACACACACCACAGCAGGAGTCATTGCACATCTGTACAAAGGACAAGTGGAAGAGTGGAATGACAGTTCTTTTAAAGAATGAATCAAAGTGCAAATTAACAAACACCAAATTTGCTGTAAACATTAAATACTTCAGACACAAAACCTTCTGCACGATACAAGAGCGCTTTCAGCATTATCTATTCACAACAGCTCTCCTCCTCCTGAGGGTCATAAACACAGAGAGACGGAGCCAGGGAGAGAAGGGGGGGGGGGAGCTGGAGGAAATGCTCTCGTTGAAATTCAACTCACAGCAAAAGCAATTTCCGAGTGTGCAAAGTGCTGTCAGCAGGCCTGATGTTTGTGTATGAAATATAGACAATATGACTGGCCCATCGGCAGCCACTGTCAGCCTGATGGATGGCGCCTGAAAAGAAGTAAAGCGGCTGCCGTTAGGGCCCAGTCTATCAGCCTCTTGAAGGAGATTCAGGGGCTTAATAGAGGGAAAACTCTCTACTAATCGGACAAAATTTCCAGCTGCGATCGCCAAGGAAATAAAAGGGATGGGGATGAAAGACCTGAGCTAGGAACACAATGCAAGGAGGGGGAAAGCCAATCTCTCTCTCTCTCTCATGCTCTTTCCTTGTTCCATGGACATATATGTATATGGTATGTTTCTGTACTCGAATTCTTACGACATGGCAACAACCCCACCCCATTTTTCTTCCTTCAGGTGGGCTAAACCTATTTTAGAATGGGCTATAAAAACAAACATTGCTGAAAGCCATTCATGTACATGATCTAATTATTCCTTGCATAAACCCTATAGGGCAGGGTTAGGTCTCCCACCTCCACCAGCATACTGTAGCAATGAGGGGAGGGCATTCTGACGTATGCCATCTCTATGCATTTGCCTGCACCAGTTTTCTCCAGGAAGACTGTTGTAGCGAGCAGAAGGCCTGTCTGGTTCAGAGCCTGGGAAATGGCTCCATTGCTTTTCTCTTCCTTATCAGAAGGAACTCTGCTCCAGTCATCACTTGTCCTGCTACTTCAGTAGTAACAAGGTCACCCTGTCACCAACCAGAAGACTAAGGGCATGAGCACCAGCCAAGAGAGAGCAACCTGGCTCCAACTGGATATAAAGCCCTGTTAAAAACTCACCACTTTGTTTCAGTCTAGCTCTTGTCAAACTGAACTCTCTCCTCCACCTTTATCCTCAACTTCAGTTTCTTTGCTTGTCTTCAGTTTCTTTGCTTGTCTTATCTTCCAGTTTGTCAGCCTGAGGCCAAGGGCCTCGCATTTCATTCCCCTTCTTGCAACAGCCCCTACCACTAGAAATGAACAATGGATTTAAACTGACATGACTGATTTGCATTTTTTTTTGTCTCCCCAAATGTAATTTTTTATATATTACATTTGTAATAAGTTCTCTGGGTGGTGTCCAAAAAACCCTAACGTATAAGATAAAAATTCACAATAAAACACTAAAACCAGAACAAAAGAGACCGCAACTGGGGGGGGGGGGGACAGCAAAAACTAAAACCAGAATAATACACTGTAGTCAAAACCAGTTGAAGTCAGAATAAACCAACATGGAGAAACAGATGCACCAGATTTATTGTAATGAAAAAGCCTGACCTGAGAGAACAAGCAAACCATAGTGCGGGTGCCACCACTGAAAAGCCCTTCTCCCTGCTTACCACCCACCTCAATGCAGATTTCAGACAGCAAAAGAGACATCAAAGTTCTTCTACAAATACAAATTGCAAAACAAAAAAGTACACTTAAGAGAAGAAAGCAGGGGTCCTTTGTGGATCCTTCAGTCTGAAAGGGCTTTAATCATCCTAAAAAGCTCCTTAGGGGAAAAGCTAAGAATGCAGTGGGGTGGGGTCCCTAATTTCTTTAAAAAGGGAAGATCCAGTTCTTCATACTGGAGTTACTGGCCACCAGTGCAGTACAAGTAGTGATTAATCACAACTGCAGCCAGTTTGCTTCTCTTTCTGTTGTGGGCTATAAAGGTCTGTAGGATGCTATGCATGAGAGAAGTCCCTCAACCTTGATCCTTTGTTGTCCGGAGTCAGATTGCTGATCAATAGGATGAGGCTGTAAGGGTCCTCTGGGTTTTACATCCTGATACTTTGCTGCTACCAGCATTATAATAAGTACCAAGCCTTATAACCACTAAATTTGCTCCATGGTATGCAAAGAAGGTTTTATGTTTGTTTGTTTTTTAAAGAACAGATAGCAAAGCATGAATCTAAGCACTGGGCAGAACATCTATATGTGGGGAGCATAGATGGCTTCTTAGATTTCTGCCTTCCTTTCAAAAGCCCAGAATACACCCCTCTCCATTCCTGTTGATTAATCGGCTACTATAAAAATCTGATGAGGATGACAATTTATGATAAATAAATGACCCTGGATCACTGCCAAATGAATGCAAAGTGTATTAAAAAGACGTTCCACACCGTGTTTTGACAAAGCTTTTGTGTTTCGCACTGTAGATACTGTACTTTTTTTTTTACATGGGAAATCAAATAAATAAATAAGCAAATAAATAAGCATTGCTAACACATTCACATGGGACAGAATCCAGCTACAAACAACCCATTTATTTTAAGACTTCAGTGCAGCAGAAATTCCCAATCAGAGATAGAAAGAATGATTTTTAAGGGTAGCAGGGGAGATATTTTGGAGAAGCGGGAATAATTTAAAGTAGAATATGATTTTTTGATGAGGCTGCCAAAATGAAAGGCTCCTGGAGAAAAAAAAAGTTAATTTACATACAGACAGAGCTGTCAGCCGAGTCACTGCCAGAAAGAATGATAACAATTCATTTGGTAACTACTCCCTTGTTAAGAAAATAGCAGCATCCAGGGGCTTTATTTGCTTGCCACAAAAGAAAGGTTCCCTGAGCAGATTTTTTGATGGGAAAACACAACTTTTCTATGGGGCTTGTTTGTTTTTTCAGCTGTCTATAATAGTTATGACTCTTTGCTTTCAGCCGAGAAGGATCTAGGACAGGGGCTCTGACAGTCCGTCTTATAGCCCTTTGCAAACTGCTAGTATGGAATCATCAAGGCTTGGGGAAGGAGCACTGGTCCCACCCCAACATTCACATGCTGGTGGCTATTAAACAAAGAGCTTGTAGGCACAGCCAGTTACAGGTTATGGGTCTCCCAGATACATTGCCCTCAATGGACCACCCCTGCTGGGACAGTGGGCTCTCTGCCAGGCCCAGATCCCTCACCACTTATTGGTCAGGCTCTCTGCCTTCCTGCCCACCAATGGTGGCAGCACTGAGCAGACCTCCAGGCTTGCATGATGCAACAAGGACAGCACCATGGGGTGGGGTGGAGAATACATGCAGCCCTGGAATCCTCCTCAGTGTAACCACTGGGCTACCCTTAACTGCACAGTGGTTCTGGCCTGGAAATGCTGCTGAGCAGTGCTCAGGGCTCCCACAAGTGATCTTGCTAGCATTGCCAGTTTAAGTACATCAGCCGCCACCCCTGCCCAGATGTCCATAACTGTAGCAGTGTAATAAATAAGTTTAAGATGCACCATGCTTAACCAGAGCTGTGTGCTGGCACCAGGAATGACCAATGGCTCTGTGCAGAGGAGCTGAACTAGGGGTGGAGGATGAGGTGGGATTAGGACCAGCTAGAGCAATCCCCTTTATTATTACAGTTGGTTACATTTTATAGAATCATAGAATTGTAGAGTTGGAAGGGACCACAAGGTTCATCTAGCCCACCCCCTGCAATGCAGGAATCTTTTTGCTCAACATGGAACTCCAACCCACAACCCTGAGATTTAGAGTCTATTGCTCAACCGGCTGAGCTATCCCAGCAGGATTCTTCTGTTACAATGTTGCATCTCACAAGGTTGCCTCATCATGCTGAAACCATGCCCTGGGACTTGAATTCCCACACTGGGTTATCTGCTCAGGGCTTTAACCTTCAGATCCACCTGCCAATCTTCTTTTTTCCACTGCACTGATAGTTAAAGGCAGGCAGCCCCAACATCCTGTCTCCATTCAGATGCTGCTCCAATCCAGTACAGTGGTAACTTGGGTTACGAACTTAATTCGTTCCAGAGGTCCATTCTTAACCTGAAACTGTTCTTAACCTGAAGCACCACTTTAGCTATTGGGGCCTCCTGCTGCCACTGCGCTGCCGGAGCACGATTTCTGTTCTCATCCTGCAGCAAAGTTCTTAACCCAAGGTACTATTTCTGGGTTAGCAGAGTCTGTAACCTGAAGCGTAGGTAACCCAAGGTACCACTGTACTTCCTATCTGGGTTTCCTCTAACTATAGCTTGTCTCTCTATGTGAAAATGCAGAGGGAAATCAAGACATCCATATTCTAGCACCCTAAAAACTAATGTTCTAATCAGCACTAGGCACCATTTAATCTGCTGAAAAACAGAAGCAGAGCACCCTGTTTAAAGCCTAAATGCAAAGCCAAACTGTTGGAGCTGGATGATCTGGAGCTGGTGACAAAACCCAAATATTATTTGTTTTCAGGGAGATTCTAGGCCGGAGTGGGAGAGTTCAGATGCCTGCCTTGCCTTCCATTGTCTCTGAATGCACTGATCAATCTCTCGCCCTGCAACCCGAAACAGTAAAAATCTCTTCCCAGCTTTAACTTTGTAACTATCACTGTCTTTTGTGATTTAATTTATGCCCTCACAATGCAAGCTGTGTGCACAGCCAATATTATTTGTAGACACCTATTTGGATACACTTCCTATTGTGTGTCTTCATGATTTAATGTGATTTTCTAATGCGTTTCTCAAATGCTGCCTTGCAGCTCAAATACAATTCAAGAAATATTTGCAGCTTCCCATTTTCTCTGCCTGAGTGCACAGCAGGCAGTAGGTTGGGAGCAGGAAGCCAGGAGACAACACTCATATTTCTTTCCAGTCCCCCAAACACAAATTTCACTATGGAAGATGCTATAGACCAAACACTTTTCGGGTTGTAGGAGAAGGTGCCCTTGGAGTCACTGGATCTCTCTGCCACTGGTGGAGCGACAGGCCCGCACCCAGAGAGATCTGACCTCCTCTGCTCCCTACGTGAAGCTGCAGAAAGGTCCTCAGCAGGTTTTCCTCTAACTTGGAGAGAGCAAAAAGGAGGCATTCTGAGGTGTGTGTCTACATTTGAGAGTCCTCCCTAACATACCCCTGGAATGGGACAAATACAGTTCATTTGCATCCCATTGACTCCAATGGTAGTAAAACTGTATGCTGGTTTTTTTAAAGACACAGAGAAGAACAGAGAAATGCCTTGTGTTCTGCTGGTGCATGCCTGGTAAGGCACAGGACAAGGCAATTTGTCTGCCTTCAACCCCCTGGCCCTTTTTTGGTCTGTTAGAGAGGATTCTACAGTCTCAGAGTTTTCAGGGTTGTTGTTTTTTTAACATTCTTTCAGATATATGCTGGGATTGGAATAGAGGGCCATCAAAGTGGGTGCCAGGCCTTTAGTGCCTTTAAAGTGGCAGGGTGCAAACCCCTCTCCCACATAAGTATGCAGGCCTATACCTACTTGGAAGCAAGTTCCATTGGATGGTAGCCAACTCAGTTATACTCAGAGGAGACTCACTGAAATCAGTAACCTAACTTGGGTCCACTGATTTCAATGGCTTTCTTCTGTGCCTAGTATCACCCACTGTTTATGAACGGACTTATTCAGTAATAAGTGTGTTTAGGATTGCAGGTGTCAGCATTTACTGGTCTTGAAATTCTTTTGATATTCTGTCTAAACAGAAAGCACCAGTTCTTGAATTCTAAATGAAATTTGGCAGTAGTGAGTTCAAGATATTTTGTTGATTTCATCATAACCTCAATTTTTCTTAACTTCCCTTCCTCATTTGTGTTTTCCCAAGCACGAAACACCAATTTTTCACCTAAGGATACATTCGGTGGCAGCTCTGTTTAAAAGGTTTCACCGGGACCTACAAGTTAAGGCAGACAACATGCATTTGAGACAGGGGACATAAATAGCATGGGACAAAGCTGTGGTCTAGCCACATCTGAAGTGCACCATGTTGGCTACCCTGGTATAGGAGTTGGAGGCATTTGACAATATCAGGGCTGGGCATATTTCAGTGAATGTTTCAAATATTATTTTTAAAACAGACACATCTGCCATAGTAGCAGAATATTGCTGTGTTGTATCTTTTGACATATCCCACCTAAGAAAACCTGAAGAAACAAGGTACAAAACCAGGCAAATAAATTGCCAGCAAACTACATATACTTATGAGAGGTGGGGTTTTTTTTAGCTACATAACAGAAGGATAAAAAACCCAGAGGATTTGCTTGGGTTTCTTTTTTTTTTACTAGCTAATCTCCTAACTATGTCCACAGCTGGTAGAACTTTGCCAAAACGGTGGACAAGAGAAATGTATTTGCAGTTTCAATGGCTTTAGTAATTCATTCCATCCATAACTTTTAAAAAACAGAAATGCATGAGCAATATTTAATAAAAGTTGGTGTGACGGTAGAAAATATCTTTGCAAGATGTTATGTTTCAAAAAGCAATCATGTTACAAGGTGTGATGGATAAATATGAAGAAACAGCTTGAAGGTAAGGTATTCATCTTCTTTTTATGACAACACTAATACATTTGTTTCACTCCTTAAATTAATTTTCTAATAGTAAGAAAGGTCAAAAATGAACTAGAGCAATATGAGCCTTTTTGTCATCTTTAACAAATTATCCAAAACAGCTCTGTCAGATCAGAATGGATAACATTTTGAGTAATAAATGTTCATACTTACTAGCTGGTCAAAGTTAATTCTTTCCAGGAAGTGGATATATCTGGAAGGCACAGATCCATTGATTTAATCCCCCCCCCTCACTTATTTGCAGTTTGGCCTTTTCGCAACCAGATTTACAGGGTTGTGTTTTGGGAGGCTGACATCAATTAGATGGAATGAGACCAAACGTCTCATATCAGTAATGTGGCTTAAACGGTCTGTGGATAGAAATCTATTTTGACAGACAAGTTCTAGGAAAGAGACTGAGGGTGGGGAGGAAACAATTGTCAGTTAATGAGATGAGACCATGTCTCTTTTCAAATTTTTAAAAGGCAAATAAAAGAAGATTCATTCCATTTCTGTTTTGGGCAACATTTATTTTTCTATATTCTGCAGTTGTGTGGATGGCGAACTGGGACTGAGAGACAATGCTTTGCCAAAGGCCATAGTTGGATTCTGGCTGAACATGAAACTAAACCCAAAGCTTCCTTGTCCAAGTTTAGCATTCTAACTACTGGATCCCAGGCTCTCTAAATTATAGGCTTTATGTTTCAGTAACAGTTCCCATTGTGAACCCATGCAGTACAATAAAGTACACAGTATTAGCAGTGGTGGAAGCCATAGTCCTATCATAGTTTTGGATGTTCAGAGTTGGGGAGAGGAAAGCACATGTTTTAGATTGTATGCTGCCCATGCTTAACTTTCACATTTTTTCCTCACAATAAAAGTGTGAGTTTCCAATGTGGTGATAGCTTCGCACATGAGAATAAGATGCTTATGCTCTCTTTTGGGTGCTGCTAAAAGGCGTCTGAAGGAGAAGAATGAAGCCCTTCTACTTCCTCCTCTCCCCTCTGCATCTCAAAATGCCCAACCCTGCTCCTATAATTTTCATGGCCCAGAAATCTCATTGAGAAAATGGAGGCAGAAACACTAAATCAACTCAAAAAGAGCCTAAAAGGACAAAGAAATCAGCCTGTCCATAAGAATGTGATCGGTTTGTAATCACCAATAAAAATAATCTCTTCTTTGTTCAACCAAGAAAATGGCCCAGGGTAAATTTCCAGCCGTTTTTTTTCTTTCCTATGTTTAAAAAAAGTTTAAAGTGAAAGAAATAATTTAGAAACACAAGGAAAGGAGAGGTTCTCACAACTTGGTGAAATTATTCCAAATCCATAGTGCAGAAGTGAGTTAAACAAAGGTCAGGCTCTGTGCTGGGAATTCCTCCTGACCTTTCAATGCAACATCCATCATCGGCATTACACAGAATATGCCATTTATCATACAGAACAAAGAGCAAACCACAACATCCTCCCATAGCCCTGAAAAGCACAAAACTTCAAGAGTTATTCTGCTTTTGGATACTACTCAGGTGTTCTCAGGTTACTCAGTTGCTAATTTGCCACTGACTGCTTCTAGTTGATCACTTCACTGGTTTATGATGTTATTATATGCTATAGGCACAGATGGTTACTCCAAGAGGCAGGCAGTGAGGTGTGGTGGATTACATAGGTATAGACATGATTATGACAGGAAACAGCATGAAATACATGACATGAAATACATCTACAAGGATTTTGTGTCTGTAGATAAAATAACACCTGCAGGGGTTTTTTTTTCTTGCTGCAAACAAAATGGACATCTAAGAACATCAAAGATGCCTCAACAGGGTGAGGTCTGTGTACCCTCTAACACTTTGAAGCAAAAACTGGGATGCCATCTTCCCTTTTATTTATCATGGTTGCCGTGATTACACGTCATGGTTTCTCCCCTTAAAAGTGCTTTTCCTGGGGGGATCATGCCACAAAATCATTAGAGATCACGTCAACCAAAATGACTGTCATTCTCTCGTGATAAAAAGGTATGTCCCTCCCAGTTTTTCCGGGACACTTGCAAGGTATGGGTCTGCAGCTGTTTCTGGTCTTCCCCAGCCCCCTCAGCCCACCCCATATTGTCACTAATGGAGGCTAAAGCCCATTGGAACCGGTGGGGCAGAAGGCCAAGAGTAGATGGAGCAGAGCAAATGGCTGGTGGAGCAAGAAACAAGGAATGTCAGAGCCAACTAACTCTGGTTTTCTTCCTATCCTCTTC